AGAAACCAATGTGAGTTTGGAGAGATGCTGTATGAGAAACCAACGTGAGTTTGGAGAGATGCTGTTTGAGAAACCAATGTGAGTTTGGAGAGATGCTGTTTGAGAAACCAATGTGAGTTTGGAGAGATGCTGTATGAGAAACCAATGTGAGTTTGGAGAGATGCTGTATGAGAAACCAATGTGAGTTTGGAGAGATGCTGTATGAGAAACCAATGTGAGTTTGGAGAGATGCTGTATGAGAAACCAATGTGAGTTTGGAGAGATGCTGTATGAGAAACCAATGTGAGTTTGGAGAGATGCTGTATGAGAAACCAATGTGAGTTTGGAGAGATGCTGTATGAGAAACCAATGTGAGTTTGGAGAGATGCTGTATGAGAAACCAATGTGAGTTTGGAGAGATGCTGTATGAGAAACCAATGTGAGTTTGGAGAGATGCTGTATGAGAAACCAATGTGAGTTTGGAGAGATGCTGTTTGAGAAACCAATGTGAGTTTGGAGAGATGCTGTTTGAGAAACCAATGTGAGTTTGGAGAGATGCTGTATGAGAAACCAATGTGAGTTTGGAGAGATGCTGTATGAGAAACCAATGTGAGTTTGGAGAGATGCTGTATGAGAAACCAATGTGAGTTTGGAGAGATGCTGTATGAGAAACCAATGTGAGTTTGGAGAGATGCTGTATGAGAAACCAATGTGAGTTTACAGAGATGCTGTTTGAGAAACCAATGTGAGTTTGGAGAGATGCTGTATGAGAAACCAATGTGAGTTTGGAGAGATGCTGTATGAGAAACCAATGTGAGTTTGGAGAGATGCTGTATGAGAAACCAATGTGAGTTTGGAGAGATGCTGTATGAGAAACCAATGTGAGTTTGGAGAGATGCTGTTTGAGAAACCAATGTGAGTTTGGAGAGATGCTGTTTGAGAAACCAATGTGAGTTTGGAGAGATGCTGTATGAGAAACCAATGTGAGTTTGGAGAGATGCTGTATGAGAAACCAATGTGAGTTTGGAGAGATGCTGTATGAGAAACCAATGTGAGTTTGGAGAGATGCTGTATGCAGTGGCGGCGTCAGAGCATTTTTGTTGGGTAATCTATGGTAGGGCTAACCCATACAGTGGTGGTGCTCAAGTCAGTATTTGCAATCTAATTACATACACGCTATATCGCCCCCTTGACAGTGAAACGCCACGCGTGAGGTTTAGATTATTTCCCTGTCTCAATCAAAATGGAACTGTATGAAATAAAACGGCACATGTCTTGTAGTAAATAAAAAGGGATCACTGTGAACGTGACGTATGATAGTACACGTTGAAGATCCAATGGGGATACTGAATGGCGATTTCGATTGATCTCAATCAATAAGGCATGACGCAGATCCAACGTTGCGTTGCTCTGATTGGCTGTAGGTCTATTCAAATTGCATTCGGAGGCATTTTGATCTGACCGCGGCCGCGCTGATATTATAACGCCAGAGAATTTCCACACCTTTAGTGTATAAAACTCCCCCACTACCTAGACTATTCCTTGCACCCCTCTTATAGCATAAGCCGAATGGTCTCAACCATATTGCATCAGTAACGTGCACTTGTTGTTACAGCAGGATCAGTTTGTGTGCTGTGGACACGACCCGTATATTTTCGCAATCCGTGTTCTCAACATTTAGCATTTCGCTTATTATTTAATTGAATTTGCATCACTTTTCATGGTGGGGCTAAGGTGGGGCTAAGGTGGGGCTAAGCCATTTCTTGGTATGGCTGTAGCCTACCCCAGCCATACCCTGGCGCCGCCACTGGCTGTATGAGAAACCAATGTGAGTTTGGAGAGATGCTGTATGAGAAACCAATGTGAGTTTGGAGAGATGCTGTATGAGAAACCAATGTGAGTTTGGAGAGATGCTGTTTGAGAAACCAATGTGAGTTTGGAGAGATGCTGTATGAGAAACCAATGTGAGTTTGGAGAGATGCTGTATGAGAAACCAATGTGAGTTTGGAGAGATGCTGTTTGAGAAACCAATGTGAGTTTGGAGAGATGCTGTTTGAGAAACCAATGTGAGTTTGGAGAGATGCTGTATGAGAAACCAATGTGAGTTTACAGAGATGCTGTTTGAGAAACCAATGTGAGTTTGGAGAGATGCTGTATGAGAAACCAATGTGAGTTTGGAGATATGCTGTATGAGAAACCAATGTGAGTTTGGAGAGATGCTGTTTGAGAAACCAATGTGAGTTTGGAGAGATGCTGTTTGAGAAACCAATGTGAGTTTGGAGAGATGCTGTTTGAGAAACCAATGTGAGTTTGGAGAGATGCTGTATGAGAAACCAATGTGAGTTTGGAGAGATGCTGTATGAGAAACCAATGTGAGTTTACAGAGATGCTGTTTGAGAAACCAATGTGAGTTTGGAGAGATGCTGTATGAGAAACCAATGTGAGTTTGGAGAAATGCTGTTTGAGAAACCAATGTGAGTTTGGAGAGATACGTCATTACACACGTACAATACGTCATTACACGTGTACAATACGTCATTACACGTGTACAATACGTCATTACACGTGTACAATACGTCGTACAATACGTCATTACACGTGTACAATACGTCATTACACACGTACAATACGTCATTACACGTGTACAATACGTCATTACAAGTGTACAATACGTCATTACACGTGTACAATACGTCATTACACGTGTACAATACGTCATTACACACATACAATACGTCATTACAAGTGTACAATACGTCATTACACGTGTACAATACGTCGTACAATACGTCATTACACGTGTACAATACGTCATTACACGTGTACAATACGTCATTACACGTGTACAATACGTCATTACACACGTACAATACGTCATTACACACGTACAATACGTCATTACACGTGTACAATACGTCATTACACGTGTACAATACGTCGTACAATACGTCATTACACGTGTACAATACGTCATTACACACGTACAATACGTCATTACACGTGTACAATACGTCATTACACACGTACAATACGTCATTACACGTGTACAATACATCATTACAAGTGTACAATACGTCATTACACGTGTACAATACGTCATTACACGTGTACAATACGTCATTACACGTGTACAATACGTCATTACACACGTACAATACGTCATTACAAGTGTACAATACGTCATTACACGTGTACAATACGTCGTACAATACGTCATTACACGTGTACAATACGTCATTACACGTGTACAATACGTCATTACACGTGTACAATACGTCATTACACACGTACAATACGTCATTACACACGTACAATACGTCATTACACGTGTACAATACGTCATTACACGTGTACAATACGTCATTACACGTGTACAATACGTCATTACACGTGTACAATACGTCATTACACGTGTACAATACGTCATTACAAGCGTACACGTGTACAATACGTCATTACACGTGGGCTTGACCCTCGTCTTAGCCATGGCTTGTATTTGTCTTCTGCTAGCCAACGCTCGTTGAAACGGCAACCTCCTGGCATACTGTCATCTATCACTCTCATCAGAATGCCCAGGTCACACACGTAACAAATACACTTGCCGGTCACGCGCATTGCGCGGGAAGGCCGGAGCGGAGCTGTTTTATGTAAAAGCGAAGCAATTAAGCGCGCTCCGACTTCTTTGTTTTCTTTTAATCTAAAAAGCGAAGTAAAGCATTTACAATTTCAAGCACTTTATCCCAAATTCAAGCACCATTCCCAAAATTCAAGCACTTTTCAAACCTTGAAAACACCTCGTACAATTTCAAGCATTTTCAAGGATTTCCAGCACCCGTACGCACCCTGTATATATATATATACAGAGTCACATTTATTTCACATGCAGGATGATTAAGAGGTATGACTTTCAGGAGTTAAGATCCACCTGTAGCGCCTGCCGGAGGGCAGCAGGTCCAACGGGTGAAAGCCGGGGTGTGAACTGTCCTTAATAATGTGTTTGGCTTTACTGAGGCAGCGGGAGGTGTAAATGTCCATCAGTTTACACCTCCCGTTTTCCTGTTTAACATGTCACTTTGAAGTTTTCTAACAGTCATTGCAATGCATTTGAGCTTTAACAATTTCAATTCAAATCATTTCACTTTTCACTTTTCTGCATTTCTCCGCTAAGTTCAGCAACACACTTCCTGGGTTCCAGCTAAAAGCAGCTACAGACACCATTCAGCTTTTTCTGCATTTTCAGCTAAATTCAGCAACACATTTGAGCAGTTTACAGCATTCACACACATTTCAGCAGGAAATTCATTTTCTAGAATCTAGTTCATTTCACATTCTCTCTCATCAGATTCTCTTACATGTTCTGCAACCTGCTAGCAAAAAAATAGCTTTGTAAATGTGCTATTATCTGAGCCATCAGACCTTTATTCTTTGAATACACCCCCCCCCCCCCCCCACACACACACACACACACACACTTTGACCTGGTTCAGCAGAATACATATATGCACTGTGATATAGCCTTCTGTGAAACCTGCTGTTTTAATGGTAATTAATAATCCACCGTATGTTAATTCCAACACGCACAAACACACACACTAATATACGCACACACGTACACACAAGCAAACACACGCATATTCGCACACACACACAAGCACACACACGCTCGCGTACACACGCTCGCGCACACACATACACATGCACACCCACACACGCACACACACCGTAAAGCCCGGCGGTAGGATGCTCCGCGGACCGAAGGACCGGACCGGTCCGACAGACAGACAGACAGAGAGACAGACAGGCAGTCAGACAGACAGACAGGCAGTCAGACAGACAGAGAGACAGACAGGCAGTCAGACAGACAGACAGACAGAGAGACATACAGACAAGCAGAGAGACAGACAGACAGACAGACAGACAGACAGACAGACAGACAGACAGAGAGACAGACAGGTAGTCAGACAGACAGACAGAGAGAAAGACAGAGAGAAAGACAGAGAGAAAGACAGACAGGCTCTTACCCCAGCTGCGCGCGGTCCGGCCCATGAACTCCCCGGTCCGCGGGTTGTAAATGCTGTCCCTCCAGGTCCCCTTTGGTTCTCCCTTCGGTCCATCCTTCGGCTTATTCTCCTCTTTCTTCGCCTCCTTCGTTTCCTCTTTCTTCGCCTCCTTCGTTTCCTCTTTCTTCGCCTCCTTCGTTTCCTCTTTCTTCGCCTCCTTCGTTTCCTCCTTCGGCTCCTCTTTTTTCTTCTCGGTCTCCTCGGCCTTCTCCTCCTTCACCGCCTGGTTAGTCTCCGGTTTCGGCTCCTGGTCCTGATCCGGCTCTTGTTTAGGCTCCAGGTTCTGGTCCTGGTTCTGCTCCGGTGTGCTGGACGACATGCTGGCGCAGAGTAACGGAACACAGCTGGGCTAATTACCGGGGAGGAGAGGGCTAATAGCGGGTACACCGATCCGCTAGAGGAGAGAGCTCCGTCTGAGGCTGCACACAAACACACACACACACACACACACACACACACACACACACACACACACACACACACACACACACACACACACACACACATACACACACACACACACACGGACTGCTGCAGAACGAGGAGCATGCGCAGTGACGTGATGATGCTCTGTGCTGTAAATATGAATTGTATAATAACCCTAATATTTTGTATATTAATAACAAATATGTAGATAATATTTATTGACACTTGGTTACCCTTTATACACACTTCCTGCTTATTACAAACACACTGCCTTCTGATCATGTATAATATAATATATAAATATATGATGTAGCCTACTGTAAAATAATATAATATGATAATGTAGTGTAAAATCGTATAATATACCATACAATGTAATATAATGTTATATGTTATATTAAATATATATATATATGTCCTGGTCCCAGGATCAGGACAGATCAATGGAAATAAAGAGACAGCACGTTAATGATCGTTATACAAATATATGAAACATATTCAGGTATACCACCACTGTGTATTTATTCACATACTGTATTTATAACTATTAACCATTATATATATATATATACTCGTATTATTTTCAGCAGCCTCTTCAGATGCTCTGACCTGAAAACAGCCGCTCTGCTTTATGTAACCACAGCGTCACATGAGCACAGGGGACACAGCTCATTGGATAACAACAGGGTGATGTCACACACAAGGAGGAGAGGAGAGAGACTTCCTGTCTGTCCCCTGGTTCAGGACCAGTGTAGGGGTAACGCGCTACTGTAATTAGATTACAGGCGTCTGTAATGCAGTAATGTAATGCGCTACTGTAATCAGATTACATGCGTCTGTAATGCAGTAATGTAATGCGCTACTGTAATCAGATTACAGGCGTCTGTAATGCAGTAATGTAATGCGCTACTGTAATCAGATTACATGCGTCTGTAACGTGTTATTATAATCAGATGACATGCGTCTGTAACACAGACATGTAACATGTGACTGTAATCAGATTACATGCGTCTGTAACACAGTAATGTAACATGTGACTGTAATCAGATTACATGCGTCTGTAACACAGTAATGTAACATGTGACTGTAATCAGATTACATGCGTCTGTAACACAGTAATGTAACATGTGACTGTAATCAGATTACATGCGTCTATAACGTGTTACTGTGATCAGATTCAGTGTTGGGTGTAATGCGTTACAAAAGTAACGGAGTTACAGTAATGTATTGCATTACTAATGAAATGTGGGTAATATATTAGCAAACATCCTGAGACATTCCGACACCAGAGAAAAATTGCGCGGGTAGATTAGTAAACCTGGTGTTTACCCTTCAGGCTCATCAAGATCCCTCCGCTTCGCGTCGGGTTCCCTGATCAGTCGGGTGTTCTTTTCCCCATAAGGACCGCCTCGCTGCACATTATCCCGTTTATTACACGGCCATATACTAAACAACGTGTTCCTGTTATTGTTTACTTCCTCTCTGCCTTCTTCTGGTGATTTATCTGATGTCCAGCGCTCCGTCTTTTAACCTCTTTTCCTTTCTCTTTCTTGATCCTCCTTAGCAACCTTCATTATAGTCCTTGACAGTGGTCTGTACTACTGTATTAACAACGTGTCACATTTACAATCAGAATCGAGTATTCAACTAAGCCGTGTAATAAAAGTTGTTAGTAGCCTTAAGGGCCTACGCAGTGATGCATAATGAGCTGCACTAAACTATATGTTAGCATTTAAAATACCTAGCCATTCTTTTGAGGTTATTTTGGTAAAGTAACTCAAAAGTAATATAAAGTAGTGTAACTCATTACATTTCAGAGACAGTAATATTGTAATGTAACTTATTACTTTAAAAAGACAGTAATAAGTCATATGTTCTGTATTACATTTTGGAAGTAACTTGCCCAACACTGATCAGATCACATGCGTATGTAACGCGTTACTGTAATCAGATTACATGCGTCTGTAATGCAGTAATGTAACGCGTTACTGTAATCAGATTACATGCGTCTGTAACGCAGTAATGTAACGCGTTACTGTAATCAGATTACATGCGTCTGTAACGCAGTAATGTAACGCGTTACTGTAATCAGATGACATGCGTCTGTAACTCAGTAAGGTGAAGTGTTACTGTAATCAGATTACATGCGTCTGTAATTTAGTAAGGTGAAGTGTTACTGTAATCAGATTACATGCGTCTGTAATTTAGTAAAGTGAAGCGTTACTGTAATCAGATGACATGCGTCTGTAATGCAGTAAGGTGAAGTGTTACTGTAATCAGATTACATGCGTCTGTAACTCAATAAAGTGAAGTGTTACTGTAATCTGATTACATGCATCTATAACTCAGTAAAGTGTTGCTGTAATCAGATTACATGCGTCTGTAATGCAGTAAGGTGAAGTGTTACTGTAATCAGATTACATGCGTCTGTAACTCAATAAAGTGAAGTGTTACTGTAATCAGATTACATGCGTCTGTAATGCAGTAAGGTGAAGTGTTACTGTAATCAGATTACATGCGTCTGTAACTCAGTAAGGTGAAGTGTTGCTGTAATCAGATTACATGCGTCTGTAATGCAGTAAGGTGAAGTGTTACTGTAATCAGATTACATGCATCTGTAACTCAGTAAGGTGAAGTGTTGCTGTAATCAGATTACATGCGTCTGTAATGCAGTAACGTGAAGTGTTACTGTAATCAGATTACATGCATCTGTAATGCAGTAAGGTGAAGTGTTACTGTAATCAGATTACATGCATCTATAACTCAGTAAAGTGTTACTGTAATCAGATTACATGCGTCTGTAACTCAATAAAGTGAAGTGTTACTGTAATCAGATTACATGCGTCTGTAACTCAGTAAAGTGAAGTGTTACTGTAATCAGATTACATGTGTCTGTAACTCAGTAAGGTGTTACTGTAATCAGATTACATGCATCTGTAACTCAGTAAGGTGAAGTGTTACTGTAATCAGATTACATGCGTCTGTAACTCAGTAAAGTGAAGTGTTACTGTAATCAGATTACATGTGTCTGTAACTCAGTAAGGTGTTACTGTAATCAGATTACATGCGTCTGTAACTCAGTAAAGTGAAGTGTTACTGTAATCAGATTACATGCGTCTGTAACGCAGTAAAGTGAAGTGTTACTGTAATCAGATTACATGCGTCTGTAACTCAGTAAGGTGTTACTGTAATCAGATTACATGCGTCTGTAACGCAGTAAGGTGTTACTGTAATCAGATTACATGCGTCTGTAACTCAGTAAAGTGTTACTGTAATCAGATTACATGCGTCTGTAACGCACTAAGGTGTTACTGTAATCAGATTACATGCGTCTGTAACTCAGTAAAGTGTTACTGTAATCAGATTACATGCGTCTGTAACGCAGTAAGGTGTTACTGTAATCAGATTACATGCGTCTGTAACGCAGTAAAGTGAAGTGTTACTGTAATCAGATTACATGCATCTGTAACTCAGTAAGGTGAGGTGTTACTGTAATCAGATTACATGCGTCTGTAACTCAGTAAGGTGTTACTGTAATCAGATTACATGCGTCTGTAACTCAGTAAGGTGTTACTGTAATCAGATTACATGCGTCTGTAACGCAGTAAAGTGAAGTGTTACTGTAATCAGATTACATGCGTCTGTAACTCAGTAAGTTGTTACTGTAATCAGATTACATGCGTCTGTAACTCAGTAAGGTGTTACTGTAATCAGATTACATGCGTCTGTAATGCAGTAAAGTGAAGTGTTACTGTAATCAGATTACATGCGTCTGTAACTCAGTAAAGTGTTACTGTAATCAGATTACATGTGTCTGTAACGCAGTAAGGTGTTACTGTAATCAGATTACATGCGTCTGTAACGCAGTAAAGTGAAGTGTTACTGTAATCAGATTACATGTGTCTGTAACTCAGTAAGGTGTTACTGTAATCAGATTACATGCGTCTGTAACTCAGTAAAGTGTTACTGTAATCAGATTACATGCGTCTGTAACTCAGTAAAGTGTTACTGTAATCAGATTACATGCGTCTGTAATGCAGTAAGGTGAAGTGTTACTGTAATCAGATTACATGCATCTGTAACTCAGTAAGGTGAAGTGTTGCTGTAATCAGATTACATGCGTCTGTAATGCAGTAACGTGAAGTGTTACTGTAATCAGATTACATGCGTCTGTAATGCAGTAAGGTGAAGTGTTACTGTAATCTGATTACATGCATCTATAACTCAGTAAAGTGTTACTGTAATCAGATTACATGCGTCTGTAACTCAATAAAGTGAAGTGTTACTGTAATCAGATTACATGCGTCTGTAATGCAGTAAGGTGAAGTGTTACTGTAATCAGATTACATGCATCTGTAACTCAGTAAGGTGAAGTGTTACTGTAATCAGATTACATGCATCTGTAACTCAGTAAGGTGAAGTGTTACTGTAATCAGATTACATGCATCTGTAACTCAGTAAGGTGAAGTGTTACTGTAATCAGATTACATGCGTCTGTAATGCAGTAAGGTGAAGTGTTACTGTAATCAGATTACATGCGTCTGCAACTCAGTAAGGTGAAGTGTTACTGTAATCAGATTACATGCATCTGTAACTCAGTAAGGTGAAGTGTTACTGTAATCAGATTACATGCATCTGTAACTCAATAAAGTGAAGTGTTACTGTAATCTGATTACATGCATCTATAACTCAGTAAAGTGTTACTGTAATCAGATTACATGCATCTGTAATGCAGTAAGGTGAAGTGTTACTGTAATCAGATTACATGCGTCTGTAACTCAGTAAGGTGAAGTGTTGCTGTAATCAGATTACATGCGTCTGTAATGCAGTAAGGTGAAGTGTTACTGTAATCAGATTACATGCATCTGTAACTCAGTAAGGTGAAGTGTTGCTGTAATCAGATTACATGTGTCTGTAATGCAGTAACATGAAGTGTTACTGTAATCAGATTACATGCGTCTGTAATGCAGTAAGGTGAAGTGTTACTGTAATCAGATTACATG